CCCATCTGTGTCCGAATTGCCCGCCCGTTCCGCAAGCAGAAAGGACAGCACCTGCCCAGCATGACCAGGATCTGCCTGGGAGCTGAGATGCTGTTTGTGATAGCAAAACACCGGGCTCCTTCCACCAACGAGCTGGGCCCGTCTCTGGTCCGTGTGTGTACAGCACCTAGCACCATGCGGCTCCCTTGTACCCAGAATCCCCCAAACCTATCCCACTACTGCCACCAGAGTCAGCAACACTCACGCTGTTCAACTGAGCGGGCTTGGGGGTGAATCCAGCCGTTCTCACCCCCAGAGGAAGCCCCTGCTTTGCTCACGTAGCTTCAGAACTTCGATTCCTTTGGCAGCAAATGGTTGAAATCGAAAGAGACGAAGACTGTGAGCTCGGCGCCCGCTAACAGGGTGCATGCTGCTGAGGTGCTGGGGCCAGAACGGCCGTGAACTCCCGCTGTTACCCTGTATCACTGTAAATACACCCTGTCGAAAGCTGGTTCTCCCCCATCTTTGCTCACTCAGCTACAGTCAGGGCCGGCTCCAGGCACCAGCTTGGCAAGCAGGTGCTTGGGGCGGCCACTCCGGAGAGGGGCGGCAGGTCCAGCTATTCGGCGGCAATTCGGCAGACAGTCCCTCACTCCCGTTCGGAGCGAAGGACCTCCCGCTAAATTGCCACCGCAGATCGCGATCACGTTTTTTTTTTTGGCTGCTTGGGCGGCCAAAACCCTGGAGCTGGCCCTGGCTACAGTCACATCTCCTCTTAGAGTGGCACCGGTTGGTTTAGACTGGCTACAAAGGTCTGGCTTTCCCCTGCCCTCCCAAGGCTCAAAGGGGCCCGGGTAACACGGGGGGGAGGGCAGGAACCGAACCAAACCCAGAATGGAGGCTCGGAAGCAGATCGGTGGATGGTGAGGGGGAGCCGGGCTGGGGGTGTTTAAAGACGCTGTCCCAGCCCCTAACGATTTCAGATCTAAGCTACCCCACTGGCGGGCAGTGGTGCCCCAGCCCCACTCGGAGCCCCCCCTCCCCTAGCCTCAGCAGGCCCACGTCTCTGGTGTGTGTAAAACGCAGCGTCTGCCTCTGGTTTATAATATTTTGAAATTAAACCTGTTTTAAAAAAAACACAATTGGCTTTTTTTCCTCGTGTGGCACAATTAACATCCCGCAGCAGCGGCAGGAGCCCAGCGTTCTGCTCCTGCCTCT